TGCAAACATATTCTCGAGGAGAGCCATGTGTATGAGAGAAAAAAAGTAGCTATCCATCTGGTTGCAAGGGCTGGGGATGTACTCAGTGGTAGAGTGCTTACCTAGTATGTCCAAGGCCCTGGGTTTGATCCCCAGCACAAGAGGAAAAAAAAAAAGAGTGTCTCATCTCAATGCAAGACTTCAAAATATAGTTAGTAATCATGAAAGTCAGCCAGCTTGATGGGTCACCTACATGCAAATGCCCATAATCTATTCATCATACAGACCCTATCTCGAAAAACCTCTCAAAAATAGGGCTGGTGGAGTGACACAAGGTGAAGGCTCTGAGTTCAAGCTCTAGTACTCCAAAAAAAATGTAAATAAATGTCTTTTAAATTTTTCCTTCCTTCTTTCCTCCCTTCCTTTCTTCCTTCCTTCCTTCTTTCCTTCCTTCCTTCCTTCCAGATGGAACACAGGGCCTTGCACATTTTAGGCAGGTGGTTTACTACTGAGCTATCTTCTCAGCCAAGATTGTCTCTTCTGAGATTATGACCCAAATTCATGAATGTTAGGCAGTGACAGAGACCATAAATCAATCAACACATATTTGTTCATCATCAACCAATAATCAACCAATATCGAGATACTGTTCTCAGACCTGAAAACACTTTTTAAAAAAATTTTGTTAGTACTGGGGTTTTAACTCAGGACCTCACATTTACTGAAAGCCACACCCCAGTCCCAAAGAAAGACTGCATCCCAGCCCCAGCTATCACTTTTGGCTGGAGTAACCAAGAAAGGAAAAGGTAGCATTTGAGTTGATCCTTTCAACATGGCTCAAATTTCAGCAAAGTCCAGAGCCTGGCTGGAGTCTGAATGAAGAACTGCAGACAGAGAGAACAGAATGAACAGTGGCCTACACACTAACTGAAAACTATGTTCTAGAAGCTTGAGATCTAGGAATGACCAAGAACTATCCTTAGAGAGGAAAACAGAGAACACTCTTGTACTTGTTTATTTGTTGTTTTGCAGTACTAGGGCTCAAACCTATGGTCTTGCTAGGCAAGTTCTCTACCACTGGCTACATCCCCAGCCCTGAAATCAGTCCTGTTTTAATGTGCCATGAGTTTCCATAATAGGGAAGCCGTGGAAGATAAAGATAGAATAATAAGTTTATTAATTGTTCCACAGACATTTCCTGGGTGTCTAGCAAATACCATATATATATATTTGGAATCACTGGGTTTGAACTCAGGGCCTCACCCTTGCAAGGCAGGCACTCTACCACTTGAGCCACTCCACCAGCCCCAAATCAAATATCCTTTTTTTTAGTGGGACTGGGGTTTGAACTTAGGGCTTCATGCTTGAAAGACAGGCACTCTACCACTTGAACCATACCTCTAGTCTAGTACCAGATATTTGTGCTGGGACACAGAGGTTAGAGAGTATAAGTGGCCAACCCACGGGGCATACATGCCTGCATAGGTGGCTAGCCTTTACTTTCAGAAGGTAACAACTAGAATTATTAGGTCTGAACTTGAACACAGGTCTAAAGATATAGAAGGCCCTTCAGGGATTCTACAGGTAACTATGAAGACATGATAGCAAAATGAAAAGGAACAAGTGCCACTGGTTCCCAAAGGAGAAGAGAGCTGTCCACCATGTACTGCACCATGTGAAGCTCCAGCTGGGTCCTTCCCTTGTCCAAGCAAACATGCTCCAAATCTGGCCGTGACCCATTGTAGTTCATAAGCATATAAATTGAATATCATGTCACTAAATAATCAAGGGTCTACACTGAATGACCATCCCAGCTCCACAGTATTTATCATGAGGAAAAAGGGAAATCAACTTATTGGGCATGGCTCAAGTGGTACAGTGCCTATCTGGTGAGTGCGAGGCCCTGAGTTCAATCCCCAGCACACACACACACACACACACAAGTCAAAAAACTAAAACACTTAGTGTCTGTAAAAATGGTAATGTAGCTGTGTATGCATTATCATAGAAAGTTGTACAGAACACATTAAGTGACAACAGGTTTTCAAACAAAGTTATAGTGTGACCCCGTTTTTTTTTCAAATAATATATATGTATACTTATGTATAGGCATAGAACATCTAGAAGGATATATACTAAAATTGAGTTGTATCAGTGCACCGGTATTAGATTTAAATTTTCTGCTGGGCATGGTGGTACACCCCTGCAATCCCAGTACTCTGAGCTACAGAGCAAGACACTGTCTCAAGGAAAAAAAAAAGACTAGTGAAGTGGCTTGAGTGGTAGCCTGGAAAGCACATAAGGCCCTAAATTCAAACCCCAGTATCACACACACCAAAAAAAGTGCATGTTATTTTCTTAAAGACTATTGTATAAATCAGGGAAGAGCTGACCAGAGTCTAAACCCAGGGTAGGGCAGCGGGGTGGAGGAGGTGGAGAAAAGCAGACCGATTTTTCTGATGGATAGGCTGGATTTGGAAACCAATTAGATGTGTTTATGGATGACAAGGGAAGCAAGAATTCAGGATTCTTTCTTTCTTTCTTTCTCTCTTTCCCTTCCTTCCTTCCTTCCTTCCTTCCTTCCTTCCTTTCTCTCTCTCTCTCTCTCTCTCTCTCTCTCTTTCCCTTCCTTCCTTCCCACTCTCTCTTTCTTTTTTTGGTGGGGATAGAGCCCAAGGTCTCATGAATGGGAAGCAAGGGTTGTACCACCGAGCCACAATCCCAGCCCCCAGGGTTTTAACTGAGACCATAGGACGACTCAGCCTTATGAGGGGTGCAGAGGAAGGGCTGCAGTGGATTGGAGAAGGATAATTATATCCTTCCCTTTGCTTCTATCTAAGCACTATCACCTCCTGCACTGGTCGTGAATGCTGTGAGTCATGCTTACTTGTGCTGTCTCTCTCCCCATGGGCCTCAACAATGAGGCCTGTCTGGATCCTCAGAGACTATAATACAGAAGAGCAGTCCCTGGCTTTGAGCCCCCACCCCCACCACACTGTTGAACTCATGAAGTAATAGTAGCTTTTCTCATCAGCTTATCTCCTGTGCATGGAACCATTGATCAGATGAAGAAATGTAATCACCGAAAAGTTAAAGTAAGATGCCCAGCGTCACACAGCTCTAAGTGACTCCATGTCTGTATAATCTTATGTACTTTACAAAACCTGTGAGTTTAATATTGCCAGGAGTTTCCAATCCCATTCCATAGATGAGAAGAAGGAAGACCCAGCAAGGTGACTTTTCTAAGGGTACACAAGGGGAACGGTGCTAGGAATCAGCTTTAAGGGATATGATAAACCAGGCGTCATGATGCAAGCCTATAATCCCAGCACTGGGGAGGCTGAGGCAGGAGGATGGAGAATTCAAGACCAACCTGAGTTACATAGTGAGAAAACAAGAAAACAAAAAAAAAAGAGGATAAGATATACACATACCATGCATGATATGCTACACACACACAAACACAAATAAATACATGTACAAATATATGACTATTTGTATAAGCATACTGAATAAAATGTACCTCAATACATTTTCCAAAATTCACAGAGACAAAAAAAAAAAAAAGGTCCAGATTAAGCACATTAGCATAATTACTTTAGGGTGGGTCAGGGAAAAGAGTGAACTACAGGGCTACATGCAGACATTTATTTTCTTGCAGTTCTGGAAACTGGAAGTCCAAGATCAAGGTACCAGCACAGTTAGTGCCTAGTGAGGCCCCTCTCCTTAGATAGCTTCTTGCTCTGTCCTCACTTAGTGAGAGAGAGAGAGAGAGAGAGAGAGAGAGAGAGAGAAGAGAAAGGGAAAGTGAGACTTTATTTCTTTAGAGAGATTGTATTTCTTCCTCTTAAATAGTCCTGTCGGATTAGGGCCCCAAACTACTTTTTTCTTTTTCTTTTCTTTCTTTCATCTTTCTATCTTTCTTTCTTTCTCTTTCCTTCCTTCTTTCTATTTTTCTCTTTCTTTTTTTCTATCTTCTCTTTCTTTTCCCCTCCCTCTCTCCCTCCTCCCCCCTTCCTTCCTTCCTGTGTTGGGCATTGAGCCCTAGGGCACAAAGCTTATTTAACCTTAATTACCTCCTTTAAGGCCCTGTCTCCACATACAGTCACATTGGGGGCTAGGGCTTCAACATATGAATTCAGTGGTATGTTGGGGGACATAATTCAGGCCATAACAGGGGCTAAAAAAAGAAATAATAAAACCAAAAGGAGGGGAGAAAGAAAATAGGCTTGGAGAGGTAAGCAGAATTCAGATCAAGCAGGGCTTTATAGACTATAGGAGACAAGCTTTAAAGGCTCAGAGAGGTTAATTTATATGCCCAAGGTTGTCGAATTCATTAGTACTGAGGCCATAGTTTATGTATATAATTGTTTGACTTCAAAGCCCATGTCTCTGAAAACCCAGATTAGTCCTGCTAACAAAGCTGAAGCATGTGTATTTCATTTTACCTTGAGGAAAATGAAGTTCAGAGAGGTCAAATGACTTGTCCAAGGTCACACAGCAAGTAAGTAGAGCTGACTTTGGGGAGTTCTTTCTGACTCCCAGCCTTTGTCTCTGACTAACTCCATTTACTTATTCTTTCATGCATTCATGCATCTACTACATCTGTATTGGCTCCTTCTTTGTATGAGACACTAGGGATACAGAAATTAGGAAGACATGCTCCCTGCCCTGAGAGAGCTCAGTCAGGCATAGAAGAGACAGCTAGGTAAGCAAATGTGGGCATCAAGGGGGCTGTGAAAAGTGCTGGACAGCAGGCCCCTTGAAGGATGAAGAGGAGTTCACCTAGTGTAGAAAAAGAGAAGGCTGAGGCTGGGGGTATAGTTCAGTGATAGAGCACTTGCCTAGTATGCTCAAGACCCTGGGTTCCATTTCCAGGACTTCCCTCCAGGCCAAAAAAAAAAAAAAAATCCCTTGCATGAACTGGAAAATTGATGCTCCCTTCTACCTCCAATTCCAATTCCTTTATGGTTTTTGGTCCGCTCGGACCCTGGGGACTCTTTTTAAACTGTCCTGTTGAGCCTTTGTCATACCTGCCAAAGAAAGCAGTCTACTTCTTTTCTCTCTGTTCATAGCCCAACTCTCACCATGGTGACGGGGCCATCGTGGGGCTTAAAATAAAATTGTTGTTCTGGAGAACTTGAGGTTGCTTACAAGGGTGGTGGGCAAAGGCATCCAGGAGCTAGAGACCCCAGGCTTCTCTGACTTGGCTTTCCCCACCTCTATGGTCTGGACCAATTCAAGCATCACAGCTTCCTATGCTGCCCGCCCCCTCGTTTGCCACAATCAACTTCCTGCCCTGCCACAGGAAGTGGGGAGCAACACCAGGTGCAACGACAGCTAGTGGAACCATGGTGAGTCTAACCCAGCTTATTTCAGCTCACCCTCCTTCTCTCAGAGACCCCAGACCTAGGTCAAGCCACAGTAGCTTGACTTTTCTTAGCTCTCGGGTTCAGGTGATCCTCAGGCCCTGCCTGCCCCTCCCAGGAGCCTCATATTGGGTCCCCCTCCCCCCTCCCCCCTCCCAACAGGACAAGGAGTACGTGGGTTTTGCAGCCCTCCCCAACCAGCTGCACCGCAAGTCTGTCAAGAAAGGGTTTGACTTCACACTCATGGTGGCAGGTCTGGGGCTTTTGGAGAGGGACTTGGGGGGGTGGGGTATCCTCAGGAGACCCTGGCTGTCCCCTCATCTGACTAGTGCTTATCTTGTCCACAGGTGAGTCAGGCCTGGGGAAATCCACCCTCATCAACAGTCTGTTCCTCACCAACCTCTATGAGGACCGGCAGGTGCCAGATGCCAGTGGTGAGACTCTTCTGCCCTCTCTGTGCGGTGCCCTTGGCCCTTCCTGTGTCCCTTGGCTACACTCTTTTCCTTTCCGTCTGGGGACTTGGTGGCTTTTGCTTTTCTCCCCTGAAGAATGAGTGGGGGCAGCCACGATACTGGGAAAGGAAATCAGCCCTGCCTCAGAGCCCTACGCGTCTCCCTGACTTCTTCCTGCTCCCATTAGCTCGCTTGACACAAACGCTGAGCATCGAGCGCCGGGGTGTTGAGATTGAGGAGGGGGGTATCAAGGTGAAGCTGACCTTGGTGGACACACCTGGCTTTGGGGACTCTGTGGACTGCTCAGATTGGTGAGAAGGAGGAGAGGGGATGGGAGGGTGGAGATGGTGTTTTGAGCCTCTCAAAGCAGCTACTCTGCAGAGGCCCAGGGGTCAGTCTAGGCCACCTGGCCTAGAGTGTCCTGTGCTTCTAGATGGCTTGCCTATGCCACCATCACTTGCCCTTGATGCTTTGGTTGAGGCAAAGAAACTACGTCCCACTCCTCCCAGCCTTGTCCCTTTCCCTGCCCTGTGGTCTCTGATCTCTGACCACATGTCCTCTCCCCACACCCCAGCTGGCTGCCCGTGGTGCGCTTCATTGAAGAACAATTTGAGCAGTATCTCAGGGACGAGAGTGGCCTGAACCGGAAGAACATCCAGGATTCTCGGGTTCACTGCTGCCTCTACTTCATCTCACCCTTCGGCCGGGGGTCTGGAGGGCACCCTGGGGATTGGGTGATTTAGGAACTGGGGAACTTCCACACCCTGGAGCCGAACCCTGACCAATCCTGGTTGCAGGCTCCGGCCCCTAGATGTGGCCTTCCTCCGGGCGGTGCACGAGAAAGTCAACATCATCCCAGTCATTGGCAAAGCGGATGCCCTGATGCCTAAGGAAACCCAGGTTCTCAAGCAGAAGGTGTGCATGGTGACCTGTTACTTTTGGCTTCAAGTGAAGCCAAAAGTCATACCCAAACTCTCAACTTTGACTTCTTTGACCTGGGGATGGCCCTTTTGGAGTAAGAGGTGTCAGGCTAGACTGTGGGAGGAAGTTTCTGAGGAAGGTGGGCAAGAAGCTACAAAATATCTATGCTTGTAAAAGCTCAGAACAGATGGACATGCAGCCTTAGGGTTAGATGCTTGGCTGAAGCCTGTCTAAGGGCAAGAGCAAGGGCATGGACACGATGACCCCTGATATCCCTCTGGCCCTATGATATTGATGATCCCCTCTGAAGTGTCTTCAGAGCCCTTTTTTAATCCTTTGCCTCTCCTTGTCTCCAGATGTCTGTCCCATCTTTTTTCAGTTTCTCACCATCTGTGTCTCTGAGATTTTGTTTTTGGTCATCTTGTATGTCCATCTCTCATTGACTTTGTCTTTCATGTCTTCCTTTCTCTCTGACCACCCAGGGTCTCTGTCTCTGTAGCTCACTGTCTCTGGCCCTGCAATGTCTGTCTGTCGTGCCTCTATGTTTCTCACTCTCTCCATCTGTCTCCTCTGAGATCCGGGACCAGTTGAAGGAGGAGGAGATCAACATCTACCAGTTCCCAGAATGTGACTCTGATGAGGATGAAGACTTCAAGAGGCAGGACGCAGAGATGAAGGTGGGAGAGGCAGAGGAAGGGGCAGAGAAGCTAAGGAGGCACATGTGGAGGTGGAAGTTCAGAAAGAGGATTCTGTCCACAGGGGTCAACATGCCCCCTGCCCCCTGCCCTGTAGGGAAGCATTCCTTTCGCAGTCGTCGGTTCAAGTGAGGTCGTGAAGGATGGTGGGTCCCGACCAGTGAGAGGACGCAGCTATTCCTGGGGTACTGTGGAAGGTAAGACTAGGCACGTGTTCTGAGGCCAGTGAGGAGCCCAGACCGTACCCATTATGTGAATATGGGGTGGGCTCTGGTCCTGGGCGTCCCTAGGAGCTAGAACTGGGATTCTCGGGCTGCAAACCGTGGATCTTCTGCCAGAACAACAGCAGGATTCACAACGGACCCAACCTTGATTGTGGGGGTTGGACCCGAACCTCCCCGACGCTCGCTGGTCTGTTCCTAGTGGAGAACCCACATCACTGCGATTTCCTGAACTTGAGGCGGATGTTGGTGCAGACACACCTGCACGACTTGAAAGAGGTGACACACGATCTGCTCTACGAGGGCTACCGGGCTCGCTGCTTACAGAGCCTGGCCCGGCCTGGGGCCCGGGATCGAGCCAGTCGCAGGTGAGAGCCGGGCTGGTTATTTTGGTGCCTGCAAAACCCTACTCTTGGAGCAGACATCCAGGCCGGTCCCGCCCCCACGCCTGACTCCACCCTCCCAGGCCCCGCCTTCATCCAGACTTTCCTCCCAGACTTTCTCCACCCTCTTTGCCTTTGGCCCTAACCTCATGTTTGTGGCCCCGCCTCCTAGACGCAAATTTGTCCCAAGCCCCGCCTCCGGCCCCATCCCTGATTCTTCTCTTCTCTTTATCCCCTAGTAAGCTTTCCCGCCAGAGTGCCACAGAGATTCCACTGCCCATGCTGCCTCTGGCCGAGACTGAGAAGTTGATCCGCGAGAAGGACGAAGAGGTGAGCAAGAACCTCGCTTCCCCTTCAAGCAACGCCCCAGGACCTCTTCGAGGTCTCTCTTTAGCCTCGCCCGGTCCCACGCCTGCACTTTTGCCCCGCACAGCTGCGCCGCATGCAAGAGATGCTGGAGAAGATGCAGGCCCAGATGCAGCAGAGCCAGGCTCAAGGCGAGCAGACGGACGCTCTCTGAGACCCCCCGCCATGGCCCTGCCTTACCTCGGCTCCGCCTTAGTCCGCCTCTTGTCCAATCCCCGGGCCCTGGATTGCCCAGCCGGAGTCCCAGCCCGTAGGCCCGCCCTTGCACTTGCTTTGTGTGGGTTCTTCCACTAAGCCGTTTACCCCATCCACGAGTTTGTAGCCCCGCCCCGACTCCCTTGGCCCCGCCCCAGCCTTCCCGACAAGGCCTTCAGCCCAGCCCCAGACCGTCCCTCTCTGCCTTGGGACGTCCCCTTCTTTATTCAAGCTCCGTTTTCAATAAAAACAGCTTCCCCCGAGGCCACGTGAATCTTCTCTGCGGCAACGGGTGGAGAGGTTGGCTTCCTGGTCTCTATTCACTCATTTATTGGACACTCGCTGCTGGACAGTGTTTGAGTCCACCCTCGCTCCTGCGTCCCTCTCACAGAAACATACTGCAGGCGCCGCCAATAAGAAACAAAGACCAGTTGAATTTTATTGGTAGTCGGGGGTAGGGTCAGAGTGGCTGGAGGCGTTGAGCATCCAAAGTCTAAAAGGGTCCCCTACTCCTGGTCCTTGGCGTCACCGTGCGTGATGACATAGCAGATGTTCTTGTAGTCTACGTTGCCGCCCACGTCGGGTGGGAAGGCAGCCCACATGTTCTTGATCTGTGGGAAGACACACGGACATCCCGGACCTGTCCTGTAGCCGCCCTCTCACCTTCCTCCCTACCCCCCTTTCAGTCATTCCGCCCAGCCCCTCCCCCACTCACCTCCTCTTGAGAGAAGCGGTCACACTGCGTGGTAAGCAGCTCCTCCAAGCTGGAGAGGTGACATTCGGAGAGTTGATACTGAATTCGTGATTCCTGTCCACTCCCTCTCACTTCCATCCCTACTGCCACCCCCAGTCTTCCCTGGAAACCAGTAATTGCTCTTAGATCTCTCACTAGTCTCCCAAACACTCCGGCTTCCCCGCTTGCTTTTGTCCCCCAGTTTGCTGTGAAAATGTAATATTACCGCCAAGTTCTTTCTTCTGTCTTATGCTGGCAGTGCCTGCCCTTGTAGGAATTTTGTTTTCTTTTTTGAGCCAGGGTCTTGCTGTGTAGCCTGGCATTTGCTAAGTAGCCCAAGCTTGACCTCGACCTTGGTAGGAATTTAAGGACGCTATCCCTGTGGGAGCAGCTGGAGGGACCACTTACAACTGCTTCTTGATGGTGCCCTTCCCGTCAGGGTCCAGAACCTTGAAGGCTCCTGTGATCACATCCTCAGGGTCAGCACCTGAGGGGTCAGAGGGCATATGAGTTCAGAGGGTACCTGGAGGTCTGGGAAGGGAACAACTGGGGGCTTAGACCCTGGACAGGTCACTCGCCTTTGAGCTTCTCCCCGAACATGGTCAGGAAGACCGTGAAGTTGATGGGGCCACTGGCTTCCTTCATCATGGCATCCAATTCCTCATTCTTCACATTGAGGCGGCCTGGAGAGGACAGGGAAAACAGGAGCTGAGCTGAGTCCTGGGATCAGGGCTGCTTCTTATACATTTAGGTCATGCCACTCATTTTTCAGTTGGGTAGACTGAGGCTCAAGACCACTGAATTCCCTCAGACTCTACAGCTTTGAATTTTTATAGGTAGGAGTGAAGGGCTCACCCATGGCTGCAAAGGTGTCCCGAAGGTCCTCCTTGTCAATAATGCCATCTCGGTTCTGGTCAATTACAGTGAAGGCCTGTGGAAGCCAGGGGTGGGGGCGTAAGGTCCTTTATGACCCAGCTTCAGCACTGCCACCCCAGGCAGTTAAGATTCTGGCTTCCAGCCAGCTGCCCTCTTCCACCCCAAGCAGGGAGGGGAGGAAGGAATTCTAAACCCTCTCTCTCTCCACAACAGTTGCACATTCCAGGGAGAGGGAGTGGTAGGGGTGCCTTTGGTCAGCCTTCAGTCTTCCATTTCCCCTCACTCACCTCCTTGAACTCCTGGATCTGAGTCTGGTCAAACATGGAGAAGACATTGGAGCTCCCTTCTGCTGCTGCCCTTCTCTTGGCCTTCTTGGGTGCCTAGGGGGTGAGGGTTGGATAAAGGGTCCTTGGGTCAGTTCTTATACCTCTCTGGGTCAGTGGATTATGTTCAGTGTTCTTTTCCTTCTTTCTTTCTTTCTTTTCCTTTCCTTCCTTCCTTTTTTTTTTTTGATGGTACTGGGCATTGAACTCAGGGCCTTGCACTTGCTAGGCAGCACTCTACCTTCCTTTTTTTTTGAGACAGAGTCTCCCTATGTGGCCCAGGCTGGACTTGAACTCCTGGGCTGAAGTGATTTGCCTGTCTCAGTCTCCCAAATTGCTGGGATTACAGACTTATGCCACCTTGTCTGTTCAGATTCAGAGCTCTTTGAGTCCTCTTTTTCTAACTCTTCCCCTCTTTGGAACCTCTTGGCTAAGGGGGCTTGTTTTGGTTGCATCCCCCAAATTCTGATCTGTAGTTCTGAAACTCCATCTCTCCACCCTGCCCAATAGGTGGAAGCTTCTTTCCCTTCTCAGTACTCTCAGATTGCCTCGCTAGAGCCCCAGACTTACTGTAAGACCCTGATCTATTAATTTGCCCTATCTGAACCTCATTTATAAAATGGGAGTGGGAATTCTCATTTGGCTGGTCACAGCGGGCTTTAGGAAGATGAAGTGCAAGAACAGGTGGAGCACACTTTGAGGGCCCTGTGAGTGGAGTGCTTGGGAAGATTATCCTTGACTGGGCCCTTTAGGCCCTCACTGTCTCCCATTAGTGATGCAAGAAACAAAGGAGCCATCTTTTTACCTTTTCTTGGGTTGGGAAGCAGGTACTTAGGAAAAGCAAGGTTGCCCTGAGTGGAAGGGATCTGACCAGGGTTTGGGGATTCTCACTCACCATGTCTTAGTTCTCCCAGGGGCAAGGCAGCGGCTCCAGCTAGAAAGAGGCAGATAGTCAACCTGGGGCAGTCCCTCTGGGGTTATATAGTCCTGTCCCAGGGAGCCCTTAACATACCAGGGTAACCTTAGCCCTGTGGGTGCCCACCCCAGATACCAAAATAGCCCAGCTCAGGGCCTCTCCTTTCTTGGAGGGCCCGCAGCAGCTGGAGCCCAGGGAGGGAGGAGGGAGTGGGTCTTGGGATGCATGTCTCATTAGGAGCTAGGCAGGAAGGGATGTTCTTTCTCCTAAAAGGGGACTGGGTTGTGTCAGAGCTCAGAGGGGAGCCCAAGCAAGACACAGTTCTGGGAGAAAAAATGAGTCTGTGTTCTTGAGTGAACTGGGCTCAGATCTAAACCCAGTAAACATTTATTGAGCACCTAATGTGTGCCAGGTAGTGTGCTGGGCTTTGTGGGTACCCTTTGGCAAACACAACCCCTGCGCTCCCACATCCTGAAGTGCACAATCAAGTGTGTAAATATGTGTGGGTAGTGGCAGAGTTTAAAGATGAAGAGAACCATCTGTGGAAGCTGGAGAATCAGGAACTTCTGCTATATCCTATTCAAGGAGAGGGGGGATTTTATGAGAAAAGATACTCAGTGGTCTCAGGCTTTGTGCTTCAATCCCCTGGCCTTGGTTTCCCCTCTGTAAAATGAAAATGTAATTCCCATCCCCCAGAATTTGCATTATAATTAACAATTAACTGATAGAACATAGCAGTCTAGACATAGAGGACAGGAATAAATACTAAAAGTTACATATTGGACATATTGACTGGTCAGGAGCCCAGAAGTAGTTAGCACAACGGCCCTGACTAGGAGTATAGGAGTGGCTTCTAGAAGGCCAATGAAGCAAGACAGGTAAAGGTGGAGGGGCAGACATGCTAGGCAGAGAGCATAACATGGGCAAAGGTCTGGACAATGAAAGATCAGGTGTCTGGGTAGCCAGTATTGTGATGGGTCTAGAGCAGAGGATGCAAAGTGTTAGTGACCAGAAGTAGTAGATTTTCAATGCCAGGCTGAGGGTAAGAGACCCCTGGGACACTTAAGTTTGAAGTGAGAGAAGGACATGGTCTCCTATGAGGGCAGATCATTTCTCTTGGTATTGGTGTGGAGTCTGGGTCTCAAAGAAGGGGAGGTAAAGACACCAAAAGGGAAGCTAGCTGGCACCTCCTCCTAGGTGACTGAATGGCTTTTCTCTTCATTCTAGGTAAGAACCAGCTTGGCTGTGTGTCTTTGAAGTACTCTTTCCTCCCCTCTGGGCCTCAGTACCTCAGTCCCTCCATGAGTACAAGTCTGAGGAAATAGTGACAGGGGAAGTCCCAGGTTGGCAAAGACACCCATCTCCTGCTCCCTCTAGGACCTGATGTCCTGAAGTAGGTGTCTCTTCCCTGCCTCCTTCTCCAACTCATGCCAATGCCTCTAAGACATTTTCTTTTCTGGGCACTGGGGCCCAGCCACCTGTTGTGTCTAAGAAGAGAGAAGGAGCCACCCTAAACTTAGCAGCTGTCTTTGGCCTCCTGCACCAGCCCCTCCCTACCCTCAGATGGCAGCTGCCTCGCCTTATATGGTTACCATGGGGGTCCAGGCCAGGGAGGAGCCCACTCAGTGGGTTCTGGGAAGGGAGGAAGACTCCAAAAAGGGGAATAGGCAGTGCTCAGTAAATTTGAGTCAAATGGAAGGAGGGGATGTTGAGAAGATCACATGCTAAATAGGCAGGGTATCCTAGGATCTGGGTCTGATCTGGGAGGCTCTGAGGAGTCTCAGAGAACTCAGAAACCAGGGAGAAACTGGGAAGTTGAGAGCTACGTCTGACTAGAATTAGAAGGTGATGGACGTGGACACTAAATACATATTGAGGCCTTCTAACCCTGGGCTCAAGAGAATGGGGGTCAGAGCAGCAATATTTGGAAGGCTGGAGATCATAAGGCAGGTCTTTATGTTATGGTCTAAGGGCAACACGAAGGGCTCATGATATTGGGGTTTAGGTTCAAGAAGAAAATTTAGATCACAGAGAGATATGGCAAGAACGGGGGAAAGACTGATAGTACTGGAGTCCTGGACTCCCACCCCCAAAGAACAAGAACACAGATAAGAGTTCATGGTATTGTGGATTCATGGATTTGGGTTTCCCACTAGAATGGAGGAGCACTCCGAGAGATGAGGTCTGAGGAAATGAAGCCTGAGTTTTGGGGACGGAACTCAGATAGGTGGAAACTGAGAAGAGGGACGTGGGCTTTGGATTTCTGCCGAAAATGGATCCAGGGGGACGAGTTGCTTAGGGACTTGGCTCTCATTATAGTGGAATCAGGCAGTGAGGTCAGCAGTCCTGGATCGGTGCATTGGTCTGTGGTGGGGCTCAGGAGCCGAATGGAGACCCAGAAAGGACTAAGGAGAGGCAGCAGGCACTGCTGATGGTGAACAGCTGCTCGGATGCCCCTCGCCTCTTCTCCGCGCTGTCCCCAACTATCACCCCCTCTCGTGCTTGTCTCCGGTTGTCACCGACTATCCCTGGGCTGGCACAGCCTGCTGGCAGCATCCCTGCCCCTTCGATGGTACCATTGGCTGACGCCGTTTTCTGTCTTTCCCCTCTTGCCAAAGTGGAAGAAAGCAATCATTGGATGTCGAGAGAAATTAATCACGTTTGGTCCGCCTTTCCCCAACTGTCATTCCTTCCTGACCATCTTGGGAGACCTAAGAATTCCTCAGTTCTTGGTATTGACTGTGGGTGCTGTCAGCGCCCGAAAAGACATCACTGTCAATTTGACCGCCTACTCCCCTTTTCATTGGCTCTCTTTTCACCGTTTCTATTGGCCAGAAGACTGCCAAGCCCTGCCTCTTACTGTACAGCACCTGCCTCACTCCCCGCCCTCCGCGGGCATTCACTCTCCAGCCACGTTTATTGGCCAGGAGGTTCAAGTTCCTGCTTTTCTACTGGTCTTTTCTTCGTCCCGCCCCCTGCCTTCACGAACTCTCTGATTGGTCTCCTAGACCTCCGCCTTCTCCGTTTCCTTTTTCTTGATTACCCACCCACTTCCCGCCTCCAACCCCACCCACCCTTCCATCGATTGGCAGGAACCCAGTTTCCTCTCTCTATTATTCGCCCAAGTCCTCTGACGAGGCGGGAGAAAAAAGGGGCGCGATGGACCCGCCCGCGCGCAGGCGTAGAATGCCAAGACTCTAGCCACTCCACCGCGTATGCGCAGGCGCAGCGTCGGCCGCTCGCCCCAAGCAGGAGGGAGGGGGTGGCGGCGGGAGCGCGAGAGGGGTGCGAGGGCAAGAGCGAGACCCCGGCGGGAGGCGCACGTCGACCCCTGCCCCGCCTCCGCGCGTCCCGCGGTCGCCGCGCGCCGCCCCGCCCCTGGCGCACGCCGGGCCGCGCCCTTCGCCCTCTCCCCTTCCCGGGCGGGCGGCTCGGGGCGGCCTGAGGGGCGGCGCCTTCTTCGGCCTCCCCGGCCGGGGGATGTGAGGGGCGGCCCGCGGCTATGGAGACGGGCCCGGCGCCCCTGGTGGCCCCGCCGCGCCGTCATGGCGCCCCTGCGGCCCCCTCGCCGCCGCCACGGGGTTCCCGGGCCGGGCCCGTCGTGGTGGTGGCTCCGGGACCGCCAGTGACTACGGCCACTTCGGCCCCCGTCACCCTGGTGGCCCCCGGGGAGGCTCGGCCCGCCTGGGTCCCGGGCCAGGCCCTGACCGTCCCGGGAAGCACGGTGGTGGTGCTAACTTTGGAGGCCTCGCCTGAAGCCCCGGAGTCTCAGGTCCCCTCCGGCTCGGAGTCCTCCGTGCCGGCGGCCGTGGCAGAAGCCGAGACGTCGGCAGCTCCGGCCTCAGGGGTGGACGCTCCGAAGACGGAAGAGACTCGAACCTCACCTGTCCCAGGACCGGGGACTCCTACCGGGACCCCTACCAGGACCCCTTCCAGAATGGCTCCTGGGGCTCTGGCCGCCAAACCCCCGCTTGCCCCCAAGCCGGGAACCACAGTGGCCTCAGGAGTGACTGCACGGGGTGCAGCAGAACAGGTGACAAGTGGACATGGAGCTGCAACATCAGCATCAGCAGGACAGGCTCCTGAGGACCCCTCAGGGCCTGGCACAAGCGCTCCAGAGACCGGTGAGGCTCTGATGGCTGTCGTGACGGTGACCCCAGCTCCGGAGCCGGCTGAGAACTCGCAAGACCTGGGCTCCACGTCCAGTCTGGGGCCTGGCATCTCTGGGCCTCGAGGACAGGCCCCGGACACTCTGAGCTACTTGGACTCCGTGAGCCTCATGTCCGGAACCTTGGAGTCCCTGGCAGATGATGTGAGCTCTATGGGCTCAGACTCCGAGATAAACGGGCTGGCCCTGCGCAAGACGGACAAGTATGGCTTCCTCGGGGGCAGCCAGTACTCGGGCAGCCTGTGAGTAGCCAGAGGGCACCTGGTGGGACGGTCCCGGGAAGTGGAGGTTGGGAAGGGCGAAATGACACACCTTGGGCATCCTCCCCGGAGGATCCAGCGAGTGATTAGTGGGGCTGTGGTACCTAGCGCATCCTGAGGTTTCCACGGAGTTGGTGGCATGTTTAGGGGGAGGTTGGGACCAGGGACTGGCACATCTGGTCTAGGCCTAGACCTTGCCTTTGGTGTGTTAGTGTGCCCTTGAGCTAGTGGCATCCCTATTTCTGAGCCTCAGTTTCCTCCTCTGTGAAGGTTGAATGAGATGACACCTAAAGTCATCCCAGCTCTTTGATAAGATATTCCAACTATAATATAGGTCTGATATTCTGGAAAGTTAGTTGGGGGCGGGGTGTGGTAGAGACCTTTGGCACCTCCTGGGACAGAGTCTGGGAGGGATGTGGGCACCTCCCTGTTACACAGCTGGAGTGATGAGGTGGGGAAGTCCGGTTAATAGAAGGGAGACCCTGAAGACAGGGCCCTTCTGAAACAGGGCAGTCTTGTGTCTTCACTAAAGGAAAGGGGTGGGGAAGGCCTCTTCCCCATTTCCTCATCTCCCCAGTGTGGCTTACTCTTTCCTAGTTCCCTCCATGGGCCTGAGTCACTCCTTAGGTGGGGGTGTGATCTTTTCTGACTTCTTCCTTCCCTCTGTCTGGATCCTGCACATTGTTTCTGTGTCCCCTTAACCTGCTGGTCAGCTCAGCCTACAGCATCGCCTGAGCACGCTGGTGCCAGGCCCTGTGCTGTGACTGAAGATAAAATAATCCTACAAGGACCTCATCTGGACGGAGAGAAGAGTACTTAAACAGTTGGTTTCAATACAATACATCAGGTGTAGCCTGACAATTTAGTGATCACCTGGGGAAGGGATTTTTTTTGCCCAGTGTGGGAATTCAGCTGAAGCTGATCTGAATCATGAGGAATGAGAGGGCTTTAGTCATGGCTGTGTTGGGGTTGGGGAATGCTTGTGGCAGGGTTTATAAGCTAACAAAAATCATAAAACTTTTGATTGAGCACCAGCATTCATGGCCTGATGTGGGGGAGGTAACTGAAGTTTGACCCTGGTGCTTTTCCATGCCCGCTTACAGATGAACTAGAGTTAGAGCAATTGAGTGAATTGCACTACCAGTGGCTTTTTCCTCAATACCAGGCTGTCCCAAGGAACTTGGGTTGAATTCGAGTTTAGAGAGACCCTCTTGTATGCCTGGCACTGTACTGGGTGCTATATTCTGTTTTGGTCCTCTGAGGCAAGGCTGACTGTGGCACAGGTTACCTTGAAAGCTTTTTTGTCTACAGGGTAAAGTCCAAGTTGTTTACCCAAAGGCAAGCTTCTTATTGTCCAGCCACGCCAGCTCTCTGGTCTGACTTCCCACCACTTATCACCAGCCACTCTGTGCTGTGCTTCTGCTGAGCTGTTGTAGTTGCTCCCTGTTCTTATTTAGTCCTGTCCCACTTGACAGGAATGCTCTTTTCCCCCTTCATTACATGCTAATTTCTACTCATTCCTTATGGGTTACCGCTGATGTCCCCTCCTCCAGGAAGCCTTCCCTGGTATCCACCACCCCCTCTCCAATTACAGCCCTCTTCTGTGCATCTATCATTGCATTTCCCAAACTATTTTAGAGTCAGAGCTATCGCCCCTCTTGGGTTTGAACACAGGACTCTGCACTTGAAAGCAGGAGGTCTACTGCTTTGAGACACACCTCCAGTTCATTTGTTCAGGTTATTTTGGAGATGGGGGTCTCTCAGCCTCCCAAGTCGCTGGGATAACAGGTGTGAGCCACCAGCGCCCAGTGCTGAGACACTGAAGGCAGAAAAGGTATCTTAATTTTCTCAGCCCTTAGAGTTTAAAACTGATTTTCGATAAAGGTTAATGAAATGATGTCTGTTCAGGAGCTTCTAAGACAACAGAAACCAATATTTAATGAGTCTCTTCTATTTAATAATCCTTTATATGCTTTTTCTCCATACTTTTTATAACTTGTGTGGGGTAGGAGGGTTTGGATGCAGGGCTTTGTGCTTGCAAAGCAGATACTCTACTGCTTGAACCACAGCTCCAGTCCATTTTTGCTCTGGTTATTTTTTGGAGATGGAGGTCTTGAGAGGTAGTTGCCTGGGCTGGCCTCAGGCTACCAATCTCAGCCTTCCAAGTAGTTAGGATTACAGGTGTGAGCGTCTGGTACCAGGCTTTCTTCATAACTTTGTATGTGGTGGCATCCCATTTTATAGCTGAGGAGGAGACTTAGGTTATCACCTGGCAATATTCTTCAGAACTGGGAGGTAAGCTTAGGTCTTAGCCCAAGCTTACTTTTCCATTTCACTCTCCTCCTGGTACTGGCTCCAACAAGTAACTGCTTCAAAACAGATGGGGCACTTTAAGTGTGAGGCTGTAACAGATCAAGGGCAAACTGGGCAAGAAGAGCTTCATTTGTCTGAGAATCTGGGGAGGTTTCGAGGAGGTAGAGGAAACCCCAGATGGCCCAAGGGAGCTTCAGAATCTGATAGGATGAAACTCAGTTGCTTCTAAGGAGACAGAGAAGTACATTTGTTCTGTGTTTTATTTGAGGATAATAATTGCTATTACTGTTAGGCGCCAATGGCTCGTGCCTGTAATCCTAGCTATTCAGGAGGCAGAGATCAGGAGGATTGAAGTTTGAAGCCAGCCAGGGAAGATAGTTTGCACCCTATCTGAAAAATATCCAACACAAAAAAGAGTGGCTCAAAGTGGTAGAATGCCTGCCTAGAAAACATGAGCCCTTGAGTTCAAACCCCAGTACTGCAAAAACAAAAAAATTATTACTTAGCTACCTGCTATGTATTATTTCATATAACCTCTCAACAAGCCCCTTCAGCTGGATATTGTTATTCTTTTCACCTTACAAATGAAATTGAGGCTTAGAAGAATTAAATGACTTGCCCAAAGTCACACAATGAGTAAGTGGTAAAGCTAGAACTTGGATCCAAGACTAATGCAAAATGTGGCTTTTATTTAGCTGTTGTTGTTGTTGTGGGGTTTTTTTTGGCACTGAGGATCAAACTCAGGTGCCATTGTGCATGCTAGGCAGGTGCTCTACCACTGAGCTGTATCCCCAGCCAAAATGTGGCTTTTAATATTCTGTACTCTCCAAATTTGGATGTGCCAGAGTGGTATTTGCACATGACCTCTATGTAAAGATCCAATAGGGAAGGAAGAATTTTTAGTGTGGTGAATAAGGCCATGGATGGCCAAGTGGCCAGACATTCTGGAGTTTGGTAGCTCACAAAGTGTGCAGTTTCTCATTTGAACCTGGGGAGGTGACTGGCTCAGCTCTCTCAGCAACCCAGGTTTTATGCTATGGCTACTGACCCCTTCCATGCTCCCCCATCCCACAGAGAGAGCTCCATTCCTGTGGATGTGGCTCGGCAGCGGGAGCTCAAGTGGCTGGAGATGTTCAATAATTGGGATAAGTGGCTGTCACGGCGTTTCCAGAAGGTTTGAGAGGGTTGCATGGTGGGCTGGGCAATGTACTAGGGTGGGGGAGGGACAACACTCCAGAAGAGCCTGGGAAACTGATAGTATCTGCCCTCTGAATCATTTTGGAGGTGGGTGTTACTTGGACCAGGAGAGGATGAGGACCTTTGATCTAGGCCAGACCAAGTCAGGTCCAGTCTGGCATATGGGAGTTGTTCTGAGGGAATCTGAGGACTGCTGAGAAAATCTTGAGCGCTGTGCCAGCCCCTGAAGCTGTCCCTGGATGTCCCTTAGGTGAAGCTGCGCTGCCGGAAGGGGATCCCCTCCTCCCTCAGAGCCAAGGCCTGGCAGTACCTGTCTAATAGCAAGGAACTTCTGGAACAGAACCCGGGCAAGTTTGAGGTGCGTCCAGCTCCAAGGTGTGGGGGCATGTGGCCTTGTCTACAAGGATGTCACTTTCCCCAGATCCTGAGATAATCCCTGCTGTCCCATTGCAGGAGTTGGAACGGGCCCCTGGGGACCCCAAGTGGCTGGATGTGATTGAAAAGGACCTGCACCGCCAGTTCCCATTCCACGAGATGTTTGCTGCTCGAGGGGGGCATGGGTAAGGTGGCCGGACCATGTTGGACCATCAACAAACATTTGTTAAAGGTTCCAGGTGATATAAAGCTGGGTTGAAAGTAGTTCTTGCCCTCCAGGATTTGTAGAAGAGTGATCCTTAATCAAGCTGTGTCAAAGAAAGTGTTCTGGACTCAGAGCTAGGGTTGTGTGAGGGGGTGTGTGGGGGAAAGGGCATATCAAGGATTCATTAAATCGGTTGTATTTGAGCTAGGGTTTGAAGGGTAGACGAGAGTGGTATGTGGGGGGGGGGTGCAAACTTTTTGTGCCTGGGTACTTGTATAAGCAGTGTCTAGACAGTGGGATTGGGTAGAGCTGAGGCTGAAAAAGAAGTTTGGAGCTAGACCACCAAAGCTGAGTTCTTAAATGCCATGGGAAGACACCTGGGTTTCTGTTTTGTAGGCTAATCTTCTGCAAGCTGTGGTGTGCGTGTGTACACACACAAACACACACACACACACACACACACACACCCCCCTCCTAATACCATCCCCTAGTAGTCTGGAAGATGATCTTGGGTGATTAGACAGACTTTTTTTTTTTCTGTAGTCCTAGGGGTCAAACCCAGGAACTTGTTATGCTAGGCGCAGTGCTCTACCCCTGAGCTATATCCCCAGCTAAACATGGACATATTTTTTAATCAGTAAGTTCATCTTTTAACATATGTTTGAGTACTTGCTATCTGTTAGGCACTGTTGTAGTCACAGATGACAGAAGTGAACCAAAAGCCAAAACCTCCTGTCCTTGTGGGGTTTATTATGTTTTGGTAGGGATAAGCAATATATAAGATAAAGAAGGAAAGTATGTGTGAAATGGTGGTAAGTATTCCAGAAAAGTTGAAAGCAGGAAAGGAGAATAGAGATTATGCATGGGGATGGGGTTACAAGTGACCAGATCTGACTTAATTTAAAAAGGATGCTGTGTTGAGAATAGACTGTAGGGAAACAAAAGTAGAACCAGGCCAGTTAGGAGACCATTACTATAATCCAGGAGAGATGATGACAGGAAGGTAGCAGTGGAAGTATGAGAGGTAGCTAAATTCTGGGTCTATTTTGAAGGTATAGTGAAAAAGATTTGCTAATAGATTAAATGTGAAATGTGAGAGAGAGAGCAGTTAAGGGTGACTCATAAGGTTTTTGTCCTGAGAAACTAGAAGAATGGAGCTGTTATTTATTGATAGAAATGGGGGAAAGTAGGTTTGGGGAGCATATTAGGAGCTTAGTTTTGGAATGTTAAGTTTAAAATGCTTGTTGGACATCCATATGGAGATGTAAGTAAGTTAGGTGTACAGTATATTCAAATCTGGAGGTAATTTACTGGAGGTAAATTGGAACTTGAAAGGGTCACCTTTATAGAGGGACTAACCCATCCATGGAACTGGATGAGGTCCCTAAGGCAGCAAGTATAGGTACAAAATGAAGATGTGTAAGAATTGAGCCCTAAAGTGCCAGTGTTTTGGGAATGGAAGCTAAGAACCAGTAGAGGATATCAGGAAGAGAAACTCTCTAGTTAGGAAGAAAACCAGGAGGGGGCCCGGGCACCTGTGGCTCATACCTGCAATCTAGCTACTTGGGAGGCAGAAATTAAGAGAATTATGGTTCGAAGTTAGCCCACAACCCTATCTTGAAAGCACCCATCACACAAAAGGGCTGGTAGAGTGGCTCAAATGGTAGAGTGTCTGTCTAGCAAGTGTTGAGGCTCTGAGTTCAAATCCCAGCACTGGAAAAAACAAAACCAAACCCAGGAGGGTGTGGTTTCTAGATACAAAGTGAAGAAGGGTTTCAAGGATCAGCTATGGGAAATTCTACTTAGGGGTCAAGTCAGTCCAGTTTGGAAACTGACTTCTGGATTTAACACCTGGAGGCTGTAGTAACTTGATAAAAGCAATGCTGTGTGGAGCTGTGTATAAAGGCCTGTCTAGAGCATGGGGGGAAGGACATTGAAGATGGCAAATCTATATTCTGGAGGAGTTTTGCTGTCTAGGTAAAGAAAGTAATAAGAGTGCTCTTTGGAGGGTAGAGTGGGGTCAGGGGACTTTTTTTTTTAAACAAGAATAGCAGTATATTGGTATGATAATGGGAATTATTTAGCAGATAGAAAAATTGGTGATGCAAGAGAGATGGCAGGTTGCTGGGTTGATGGCCTGTATGGATGAGTGTGGATGGGATCCAGAACCCAATTGGAAAGGCTGTGCTTGGCCAGGATCACAGACAGTTCACCCATAGCTACAGAGGGAACCAGGGACACAGGCAGTGGGTGGATGTAGCGTGGGAGCTTATGGAAGTTACATATTTATTTTAATATGTATTAGGTAAAATAACCAGCATATCAAACCTGTCATTTCATGGGTGATTTGCAAAGTGGAGAGAAAATATTAAATAAATAACAGCGTGGTGGTATGCAGATAAGACACAAATGATCACGCTTGAATGAACGGATTTTGGGCAAAGCTATTATAGACAGTGTTAGGAGAATGTGTGATACTGGAGGCGTGGAGAGGATCTGGAAGGTCGTACTTTTTTTTGGACAAGAGAATGGAGGTCTGAGCTGGAAGTAGCTGTGAAGGTGGAGAGAGCGAGCAGACATAAACAGTGTTTAGGATGTAGCATCACTCAGACTTGGTGATTAGCCATGGGGTATGAGGAAGGCTCTTTTTCTGATGTGGGTCTGAGTAGATGAAAGTTCCAAACACAATGGACACCTGTAAGGAAGAGGAGCAGGTGTAGAGTAGATATTCTTTTAAATGCAGAGACAAGACACAGGTCTGAGGCATAACTTACTTCCAAGTCTTCACCAAGAACTAGGATCCACTGGACATGCTGGGAGAGCTGATGAAATCCAGTGGAACAGATAAGGCAAATCCTTCCTGGGAAGGTACCTGCTCTGGAGTGATAAAAACAACCAGACAGTACTAGAGGAGGACTGATGCTGTGAATGATGAAAGCCTCCTGGAGAAAATGACCGTGAACATTTACAGGATGGTGGCAGATGAAGGCAGGAGAGAGCATGGCTTGTGCTGGGCACTGAATAGGGAGCATGTGGTATGTGCAGCCCAGGGTGGAAGACTAGGGCCTGGAATGCTTTGATTGTGGACTGAACCCCTGGTATGCATGGCTGGGAAGGTGGCTGGAGGAATAGTAAAGCTATGTAGTTAATCTGTAACTAACTGGGCTGGGGTTGGTGGGGGCAGGCTTGAATCAACTCCTGTGATTGCCATCTGCTGCAATCCCCATAGGCAACAGGACCTGTATCGAATCCTGAAGGCCTACACCATCTATAGGCCTGATGAGGGCTACTGCCAGGCCCAGGCCCCAGTGGCTGCAGTGCTGCTCATGCACATGCCTGCTGAGGTCAGTATATGTGCTCTTTTTCTTTCAAGCAGGGGCGGGAAGATCTTGGCCTATAGGGGTTGATGGAGCAGCTGCCTGCTCCTTGCTTTTCAGGCCACACTCTTACCCTCCCTTTTTCTTATCCCTCTCAGCAAGCCTTTTGGTGCCTGGTACAAATCTGCGACAAGTACCTCCCAGGTTACTACAGTGCAGGGCTGGTGAGTGAGTGGAAGGGTGCATGGGACTTTTTTCCCAAGGCTGCAGGGTGGTCCTTGAGGGCAAGGACCTGGTCTTTCCGTCCTTGTTTGGACTTCTCCCCACTGAGGTGAGGACCCCTTTCAGGGCTGATTCTACCCTGAGGGGGGCACAGCAGGCCTGGCCCTCTTCTTAAGGCTCTTCCTACCTGCAGGAGGCCATTCAGCTGGATGGAGAAATCTTTTTTGCGCTCTTGCGCCGGGCCTCCCCACTGGCACATCGGCATCTGCGGAGGCAGCGAATTGACCCCGTGCTCTACATGACAGAGTGGTTTATGTGCATCTTTGCCCGTACCCTGCCCTGGGCTTCAGTGCTACGTGTCTGGGACATGTTTTTCTGCGAAGGTATTTCAGCCCCATGAGGGCTGGGGTTTCCATAGTAGCTGCCAGAGGGTCCTGTCATAATTCTAGTGATAAAGGGACAAAAGTACTTGTTTGGCCAAGGCTTCACCATAAGTAGCCTGTAGGCTGGAAAAACAGGCCTGGTCTCTGTCCAGCCACCAATCTAAAGCCTGCTGTCCCTCCCAGGAGCCAGAAACCCATAGCAACTCATTCCCTTCTTCGGGCCTCAGTAACCTCATCTGAAAGGTTGGCAGTAGACAGGGAGCTGTGAGCCCTCCTAAGTGGAACAGGTCAAGATCCTGGGCCTGATCCTTCTTCCCCCTTGCTCTCCTTTCTGACCCTGCAGGCGTTAAAATTATCTTCCGGGTGGCCCTGGTTTTGCTGCGACACACGCTGGGCTCAGTGGAGAAGCTGCGCTCCTGCCAAGGCATGTATGAAACCATGGAGCAGCTGCGCAACCTGCCCCAACAGTGCATGCAGGAGGACTTCCTGGTACATGAGGTAGGCCTTGGGCCTCAGCATACCCCTTCCCCCAACCCTACCCACTTCAGCCCACTTCCATGCTCATCTTTATTTATTTACTTTGTGTGGTGCTGGGAATCAAACCGAATTTCTCTTTTTTTCTTTTTTTTGGTGGTACTGGGGTTTGAAGTCGCCTTGCATATGCTAGACAGGCAGTCTACCACTTGAACCACGCCTCCAGCCTCATCTTCATTTTGGCCCTCATTTCCTGTGTCTAGGTAACCAACCTCCCAGTGACAGAAGCACTGATTGAGCGGGAAAATGCAGCCCAACTAAAGAAGTGGCGGGAAACACGGGGAGAGCTGCAGTATCGCCCTTCACGGCGACTACATGGCTCCCGGGCCATCCACGAGGAGCGCAGGAGGCAGCAGCCACCCCTGGGTCCCTCCTCTAGCCTACTCAGCCTCCCTGGCCTGAAGAGCCGAGGTTCCCGGGCAGTTGGAGGGGCCCCCTCCCCACCCCCTCCTGTCCGCAGGGCCAGTGCTGGGCCTGCCCCTGGGCCCATGGTCACCGCTGAGGGACTGCACCCTTCCCTTCCATCACCTACTGGCAACAGCACCCCCCTGGGTCCCAGCAAGGAGACCCGACGGCAAGAGAAGGAGAGACAGAGACAGGAAAAGGAGCGAGAAAGGCAGGAGAAGGAACGGCAAAAGTGGGAAAAAGAACAAGAGAAAGAACAGCAGAAGCAAGAGAAGGAGCGGCAGAAGCAGGAGAAAGAGCGGCAGAAGCAGGAAAAGGAGCGGGAGAAGGAGCGGCAGAAGCAGGAGAAAAAGGGCCAAGGCCGGAAGCTTTCCCTGCGTCGAAAGGCAGATGGGCCCCCAGGGCCCCATGATGGTGGGGACAGGTCCTCAGCAGCTGAGGCCCGGCAGGACGCTTATTTCTGACCTCTGCCTGGGGCTGGACTGCATGGCCCCCCTCCTTTTCCCTCAGCCAAGAACAGGCAGGGCTTGGGGTCCTCCCTCAGCCCCATTGGCAGGCTGCCCCTCTTTCTGAGGAAGGTGGCTTGATTTCCCACTCCTTGCCAGCTGCTGATTCTTACACAGCCCGGACAGCCACAGTGCATGGGGCAGCTGTACTTCCTGGGGTAGCCGTGACCAAGTCTGGAGCCACTTGTCTCCAGTTAGGCCCAGCTGGGGTCTCTGTCACTCCTGCCAATTCCCTCTAGGGTTCCCTCCCAGGTGCTGTCCTAACTGGCCTCTTGTCACCATAGGGGTGACTCTTGGTGGTGGCAGTCAGCATTTGCAGATTCTTTACACTCCAGTGGCTCCCATCATCCATGAGGTGGAGCTGGGTTCCTTTTTCCTTCTTCAGCCCTGCCGGTCTCCCCCACTGCCTTTTGGGAGGCCAAGGCTCTCCTTGCTTTACTTCTGGACATCTCTGTGTTGTACTTACGTACAGAGCATCAGGTCAGGCAGGGGCAGGGTGTTCACTTTGTCCTTTGGTTTTCCTTCCATAGTGCTGCTGCACTCTGGTTTATTTAAGGGGACACGCACTGAAATAGGAACTGTCCTCCGCTTTCCCTCCACCCTTGTCCTGCTCTTTCTCCTCACCCACCTGCTCTGCATTCTCAGGCCTCTGCTTTGTCTCACAAGGACCCCACCTTTCATCTTCCAACTCTTAAGCCCCCTCTCTGAGTAAGGGTCCTCCCAAGTCCAGGGAATGGAACCCAATGTTTACATTCTCTTCTGTCTCAGCCCCATCCCATGCGGCGCTTTGAGGAACCGGAAAAAGAACATGCCGTTGTACCTGGGCCTGTCTCCTGCCTTGTTATTTGATGAGGGGACTTTGTGGGAAAAGACTAGGGAGGGAGGGAGAAAGCCAGGACCTGAGTCTTTATGGAAGCAGTCCACTGATCTCAGCAGGTAGGGAGATAGGTGCCTCTTGGCTCTTGGTCCATCTCAGTCACTCAGCAAACACTGGTTGAACTCCTGCACCAGCTTTGTCTGGGATCTGTTGTCTTCATTGTCACCATCCTCCTGGAGCCCCCTATGCACTGTTTGCAGCATGCGTATCTCCTTCCCTAAACGCTCATGCAACTCCTGGAAGCTGGAGGGAGCACTGAGAACAGCCTGAAAGCTACAATCTTTAGGGGGTGAGCTTGGCTCTTGGCCAACTGCCTGGCATAGCTCCCTGTACTGGGCTTCCAGGGCAGGTAGCAGTACAGCCAGCCTTCTCCAGTTCACCCCAGCCAGCGCACACAGCCAAGCACTCAGCTCTTCCTGGTTTTCTGCAGCTAGCTTGTAGGCCCGCCCTCTTGTGCCCTCCACCCCAGGGGTCTGAATGGTAAAGGCATAGGGTTCTGTGGCCTTAAGGCGTGGCTCCACTTGGCAGTTCTCCAACAGGATGAGGCCCAGAGGTGTGTGGTCTTCCTGGTGTTCTAGGTAGAAGAGGAGGTTCCCCCGGAGGACGAACCACCGGCGCTGGTAGCTGGTGTTTCGGGCTCCCTTCTTTAACAGGATGCCTTCCTGGTCTGGGGCCCGTGTTCTGTGTCCATAGAAGAAACTGAGCACGGACTTGCGGTGCAGTTTCATGGTGATCCAGTGTGGGAGCAAACCCTGGGAGAGAGGAACGGTCCCTCCAGTTGCCTGGGGGAGATAGGGATGAAGTACAGCACAGAGCCGGGGGCTTCCCCACTTCCCAGCCTGCCTCTGCTTGGGCCAGATTCCATAACCTGGGCAGGGGTTATTGGGCCCTGTTTCCAAAGGGGTGGGGTGGGCTTTATCCTGTAACTGGTTTGAGAGGCACTGTTGTCCTTTTCTAGGCCTACCTGAGAGCATGGAACAAGGGGCTTCTGGCCTGGTTACTGGGCAGCGGTGCCAATGTCACCTCACCTGTGGTGGCTCCCATCCAGAAACCAGGAACTGGCCCAAGGAATAGGCGTGGGGCAAATTACTTCCCCTGGGTCCTAAAGGGAACTATGTTTAGAAAGTCCCCCAAGGGCCATCAGGAAAACAGGGCTTCCCATCGTTCTGACAGCTGGGAAGGTCGGATTTTTTAAAAAACGTGGTCTTCCTATGTAGCCCAAGCTGGCTTTGAATTTGAGATCCTCCTGCCTCGGCTGCCCGAGCACTGAGATTTCAGGCGTGCAGTAGCACGCCCGGCTTGAAAGATAAGATTGCTAAAGAAAGAGTTGGTATTGGGTACAGAGCCTTGGCTAGCCCTGGAGGAAGGGCGACTTGAACTCTTCCTGGAAAGGAAAACTGGGACCGAAATTCACAAGTCCTGCTAAGACTTTGCCCCTCCATCCTGAACCTGGGCCCCCTTTTAAGAAGGATGCCATGTTTTTGCCAGAGCCCATACTGTGGTGCGAGAGAATCGAAACCACTTCCGCCCGTCAGGGTCTAGGCTTTCAAGCGCTCCCTTGGCGGGTCATTTTAGGCCTTCTCAGCTTTCGTCACTTCTGGCGGATGAGAAGAGGAGAGGAAGGGGTAACTTCCCCCGCTTACTGCGTACTTCCGCCCGCTCTCTCAGTCCTATGGCAGGAGAGAATCCACTTCCGGATTCCCCTGGTATCTTTCGCAGTCCTCTTCCGGGTGATGACGGCCGGGTGCCCCGGATGTAACTGGTGAAAGCATCTCTTCTTTTCTTTCCCGGCCTCCTCCTGGATCCCCAGGTGAGAGCGCGCGGGCGAGACTGCCAGAGAGCCCGTGGCTCTGGGGCCCCTTTGATTTGTACACACGGTCCGGGGCGGTTGGGGGAGCACCAGGTGGAACTGGGAGTTCGGCGCGAGGAGGAGCGGAGCGGCAGAGGCGCCAGGCCCTGGGTTTGCTCGGGCTCTAAGGGCGCTGGGGGTGCGAGAGCAGATGTCAGCCAGTTGAGCTCTGTCGCGCCAGACGGATATAGGGGTGGTAACCCGGGGGAGCCTGACTTCTTTCGTCCCGGTGGGGGTATCCACACTGATTCTATGCTCCCTCCCCCTCCCAAACTGCACCTGGCAATCAGGAAAAATGCTTGCTTTGCCGGGGGCCCTGTCGTGGTGAGTCCATTCCTCACCTAGTTCCCTTACTCTGCATCCTTTTTCTGGGCTCAGCTTGAGGAAGTCCACTCTGTCAATCATGCCAAAAAGGAAAGTGACCTTCCAAGGCGTGGGAGATGAGGATGATGAAGATGAAATCAGTGTCCCCAAGAAAAAGGTGAGGTGGCCAGACCTCTATGTTCTAGGATGGAGTAAGGGGGGCCGGAGAGGGGGGGGAAGAAAGCTGGAAGTATGAGTAAAGAGGAAGAAAGGGGGTGAAGTGGGGGCTGTAGAAGAAAGGGTTAGGGTTTCCATGTTCTCTGAGGAATGGGTTTGGAAGATTTTAAGTGTGAGTCCAGATCCTGGAGTGTTTTGGGAAGTAGCCAGTAATCTTGCTTGCTGGTTCCTGCTCACAGCTGGTGGACCCTGTGGCTGGTGCGGGAGGTCCTGGGAGCCGCTTTAAAGGCAAACACTCTTTGGACAGCGATGAGGAGGATGATGATGATGAGGGATCCAGCAAATATGACATCCTGGCCTCAGAAGATGTAGAAGGTGAGCTATACCCAAGAATTGATTCTGCTGGAGGGACAGGTGTTCCTCCATCGATTCTGCCTTAGGGGTGTGGAGCAAGGAAGGCTCTGTCTTTTCTCTTGCATGTCTAGCATGGGATTACCATGTCTTTGATGCAGGCCAAGAAGCAGCCACACTCCCCAGTGAGGGGGGTGTGCGGATCACACCCTTCAACCTTCAGGAAGAGATGGAGGAAGGCCACTTTGATGCTGATGGCAACTACTTCTTGAACCGTGATGCTCAGATCCGAGACAGCTGGCTGGACAACATTGACTGGGTGTGGCCTGGGGCTGGCATGGCTGAGGCCTGGGGATGGCAAATGCTGAGTCTGGGCCCTGGTGAAAATTTATAAGAAGTAACTCCCTATCTTTCCCTTACAGGTGAAGATCAAGGAGCGGCCACCTGATCAGCGCCAGACCTTAGACTCAGAGGAGGAGGACAGTGTGGGCCAGACACCAATGAGTGCCCAGGCACTCTTGGAGGGACTTTTGGAGCTGCTGTTGCCAAGAGAGACCGTGGCTGGGGCACTGAGGCGTCTGGGAGCCCGAGGAGGAGGCAAAGGAGGAAGCAAGGGGACTGGGCGTCCTAGCTCCCCCCAGCGCCTAGACCGGCTCTCTGGGTTGGCTGACCAAATGGTGGCCAGAGGCAACCTTGGTGTATACCAGGAAACAAGGGAACGGTTGGCCATGCGGCTAAAGGGGCTGGGGTGCCGAACCCAGGGACCCCCTGACTCTACCCCACCACCCTCCCTGGATATGTTTGCTGAGGAAGTGGCAGAAGGGGAGCTGGAAACCCCAACCCCTACCCAGAAAGGAGGTGAGCTTGGAGGGCAGTGGCGGGGCATTGGGGGCAGGAGGCAGGGCACTTGAGGCCCAAATGGCTTTTCCTGTTATTTTAGAAGCAGAGTCGCCAGCAGATGGTCTGGTGGATGTGATGTGGGAATATAAATGGGAGAATACAGGGGATGCTGAGCTATACGGGCCCTTTACCAGTGCCCAGATGCAGGTAAGCTCCTCTCCATGTCCTTCTGCCTTGTCCCTCCCTCCTCTGACTTCTGTTTTTAGTTCTGCCCTCTCTTTCTTGCAGACATGGGTGAGTGAAGGCTACTTCCCAGATGGGGTTTATTGCCGGAAGCTGGACCCCCCTGGTGGTCAGTTCTACAACTCCAAACGCATTGACTTTGACCTCTATACCTGAGCCTGCTGAGAGCCCAGTTTAGTGGGCCTTTCTTTCCTGGACTTGGTGGAGGAGGCCCATCTGCCTCAGGCAGTGAGGATGTTGGAGACCGCTTTTCAACCACTTTCCCTTTCCCAATAAAAGCCTTGAGTGTGATTAGGGCCTTGGCTGCACGGATGGCCAGAGGCCGGGGCCTTCTCCACAGTCCCTTTGGCCTTGCCTGGGTCCTTGAGTGTTTCCTCCCATGAAGTTCCTCCTTGGGAGTTTTTCTGTGGTGTCTTGGACCACGTTATCTTTGTTTACCACCCTTAAGCAGCAGCGCTTGGACCTATCAGGTGTCCTGAGGCCTCCCTACTCAGAATCTACTCGCTCCACTCAGACTTACGCTCTCCTTCAAGCTTCTTTTGGGTTCTTGTTCTGCTCTTCAGTCTTTGACTTTTAGAATCTCAGATTCTCTGACCTTGCAGCCCCTAGGGGTTAGAGCTCAGAAGTAAAGATTTTAGGCCTGGGAGAGCTGGGATATCTGGAAGATTTTAGGGCCCTGTTGAGGATGAGCAAGAAGCCTCTTACTCACTGGCTCTTCCCCTCCGGAGCTCCTTAGATACCAGACAGAAGTGGGATGGGTCAGTGAGCCAAGTTCATCCAGAGTACCCTAGAGTCTGAGCCAGTATCAACCTTAATCTTACTCTTCCTTCTCCCTTAACAGCAGTTCCCACCACACTTAGCTGAAGTGCAAACTCAGTGTTGGCATTTGAAGGGTCCTTCGAAGCCACCTGGGTTAGGACAGGTATAGAGAGGGGCAATGACTCACAGGAAGTCACACAGTAACTCAGCTGATCCAGACCCAGTGGGCTCCTTTCCCAGATTTTTCTTGGCACAAAGACATTTCTACTTGGCCTTTCAGGTCTTGAAGCTTTCATTCCTACGTGTGTCTGGCACAGGACTAGTGCCTTGAGGAAATATCACTGGGCTGGTCACCTGCCAGAAATTCTGAGTCTGATAGAGAGGGCCTTGGGAGAAGGTTGTAATTTTACACACACCCACCCCACCAGTGCTGCCTTATGCCCCACCTCTCTTCCACCAAGGTAGATCAGTTTTTCCACTTTGCCACCCTTGCTGCCCTTTGGAGTCCCCAAGGAGCTGTAAAACTTTTAAGACTGACCGAGTTGGCCTGTGGCCTAGGTGATGGATCTTTTAAAAGCTTCCCAGGTGTGCCATGTTCAGCCAACTGAGAACTCCTCAGCTTGACTTGCATTACTGAGGCACACCTCAAGAGAGGCTACTTCCTGGACCCTGCTGGGATACCAGAGCTGAGTTTGTGTGTCTCTCATGGGGTTCTTTAGTGACAGGGGACCCGAGTATCAGCTTCAAGACACAGAAGCCTTAGGGGAGTAGGAGTCAGGTGAGGAACTAGGAAAGTTGGCCAGCCAGGTGGGGTTTTGATGGGCTTGTGAGGATTCCAACTTCTATATGAAGTACACCTCTAGTGTCAGCTTAGATCAGAATTTCTTTGACTTCAATAAGCCACTGGTGATTCAATCCCTGACTTTCTGTGTCACTAAGAAAGAAAACCATGCTAGTTAAGAGTTGTAAGATGTCATGAATTAAAAGATGCCTTTGATTTCAGAAAAATTCAGAAGTAAAAAGCAGATGTCTTAGAATGAGTGAAATACAGTGTTCATCTTTATAGCTCCAATGACTCTTTTTTTGCACTTGTACTGGGGGTTGAACCCAGGGCCTCACACATGCTAGGCAAGTACTTTGCTGCTTGACCCATGCCTCTAGTCCATTTTGCTTTGGTTATTTTTGGAAATGGGGTCTCATGAACTATCTGCCTGGCTAGCTGCAAACCGTGATCCTCTGGATTTCAAGTAGCTAGGATTATAGACGTGAGCCACCCTCAGCTGGCCCATTGAATGTCTCTTGGGAAGTGCTTAATTGGTGTTTGGTGAATGGATGGGCACCAAGGGGAGATTCCCTTGACTGTTGTTTGGCCACCTCAGACTCAACCTATCCAAAGTGGCCCCATCTTCCTCTCAGGGCCTGAGTACATCTCACTGATGACACCCGAGGTGGGCAGAACAGTGGTCCTCAATGATACCCATATTCTGAGCGCTGGCCTGTGAATGTTACCTTATGTGGCAAAGGGCACCTTGCAGATAGGATAAAGTTAAGAATTTCAAAATAGGAGATTACTGTGGGTTATGGAGGGGCCCGGTGCAGTCACAGTAGTCCTTAATATGTGAAAGAGGGGAGTTGGGAGACTTCCAGCAGGAGAGAGGATGTTAAGCTGTTGGATGTCAAGATGGAGGAGGGAGCCATAGATAAGGGATGCATGTGTCCTGGAGAAGCTAGGAAGGCAGCGGATTCTTCCCCAAGTGCTTCCACAAACAGTGCAGCCCCTGACAATGCTGGCCCAGTGAACATCCATTTTGAACTCCTGACTCTAGGGACTGTAAGATAATAAATGTGTTGTCTTAAGCCTCTAAGTCTGTGGTCATTTGATGCAGCCCCAGTAGAAAGTGAATCCATATCCGCACAGCCAAGTGCCTCCGCCCAAGACCACTGTGGTCACTAGGTTCTCTCTGTGGACACAGCCTTTTTTCAGCTCCGTTAGTGTAGGATTGTGATGGCCTCTTGCCTCTGATCTTTGTAGCACATCTGAACACAAACCAGGCACTTTTTTTTTTGGTGTGGGTGGAATGCAGAGGCTTAATGCTAGATAGCCACTCTACCACTGAGGTGAACCCGTAGCCCCTGTCTTTTTATTTTTTTAAAGCAAACTACGTTACCTATAGCTAATATTAATTAGTATATAAAATTTTAAGACTAATCGTGTATATAATTCCTGGTACACTTTAACATTTTGTTTTAAAGTTTGAGTCATGGTCTCACTGTGTTGCCCAAGTTGACCTTGAGCTACTGGGCTCGAGATCCGGTCTCAGTCTCCTGAGTAACGGATTTTTACATGTTACGATAGTGCAGAGCTCATTCACTCTCCCCTATTAACTTTGTTTTTCCACGCGCGCACGTGTGTGTTACTAGGGTTTCAACTCAGGGCTTTGCGCTTGCTAGGCAGGTGCTCTATTGCTTGAGCCACTCTGCCAGCCCTGTTTCTGTGTTGGGTATTTTCGAGATAGGGCGTTATGAACTGTTTGCCCGAGCCTGGCTTTGAATCACAATTCTGATTTCTGCCTCCTGAGTAGTTAGGATTACAGGTGTGAGCGGCCCATGCCCAGCTTTGTTAAAAACATTTTAAAGTAGCATGTTTGTCACAATTAACAACCACAGTGACATTGGGCTTGGTGAATTCAAGGCAAGCCCTCTACTACTGAGCCAATCCCCAGCTCCACGTTACTATTTTTTAACAGCTTTAAGGTATAATCCACCCAAAGTACACACTTCAGTGGCTTTTGATGTAGTTATAAGGTTATACAATTGTTACCACAATCTAATTTTAGAACTTTATTTTGTACTATAAAAGAAACCAGTGCTGGGGACCTAGCTCAATTGATAGGGCACTTGCTAGGCCTGGGTTCAATCCCCAGTACTGAAAAAAGAAACCTACCCCATCAGTAATCCCACCCTTTTCACCCTTCACCTCTGGTAACCACTAAAGCAGATATCCTGTGTCTAGATTTGCCTATTCTGGGCATTTCAGATAAATTGGAGTCAGGTAATATGCAGTCTTTAATGTCTGGCTTCTTCCCCTTAACACAAAGTTTTCAAGGTTCCTTCATGGTATAGCATGTATCAATACTCTGTTCTTTATTGTTCAGTAATTTTCCATTGAATGGATGAAGGGATGGTATGTTGCTGTTAATGAAATTTTACACTTTGTTTGATTTTAGTAGTTTTCCCTAGTGTCCTGTTTCTATCCCATGATGCCTTCTAGGATATCACATTATATTTAGTTGTCAGGTCTCATTGCTTCTGGTCTGACATTTTGTCAGACTTGACTTATTTTTGCTGACCTTGACAGTTTTCAAGACTGCTGGTGTTTGTTAGGTATTTTGTAAAATATTCCTATAATTTGGGTTTGATATTTTTTTCACAATTAGATCTGGATTTTGGGAGGAAGACCAGAAGGGTAGTGCTTTTATTTATTTATTTATTTATTTATTTTGTAGTACTGGGGGTTTGAATTCAGGGCCTATACCTTGAGTCATCCACCAGCCCTTTTTTGTGAAGGGTTTGTTCGAGATAGGGTTTGTGAACTATTTGCCCAGGCTGGTTTTGAACTCCGATCCTCCTGATCACCTCCTGAATAGCTAGGATTATGGGTGTGAGCCACCAGGACCTAGCCCCGTTGTTTTTTACTTAAAACTCTTGTGCTTGCTAAGTAAAAGCTCTACAGCTTGAGCAATGCCTCTGACCCTTTCTTCTTTAGGTTATTTTTCAGATAGCATCTCACTTTTTGCCTGGGGGCCTATGTCTCCCTTGTAGCTGGAACAACATGCACAACTCCACCATGCCTGGCTCATTTGTTGAGATGCTGGTCTTGCTAACTTTTTGCCCAAGCTGGCCTCAAACCATCATCCTCCCCATCTCCACCTCTGGAGCAGCTGGGATTTTAGGCATGAGCCACCATGCCAGGCCCTCACTTAAAGCTTTTGCTGGCTTTCTGCTGCTCTCAAAATGGAGTTTAAAAGCTGAAAGCTGAGTGGGAAGTGCTTCCATGGTTTATTAGAATCATTTTTAATCCGGGGGTTGTCGCTGAGCCATGGGCAAAGGCTGAAAGCTGCAGGTGACATCGCTGCTACTTATTCAGTATATCTGGACTTCTGAAATGCAGCCTTTTGCCTTTGGCCAGGCCATGCTTCAGAGAAATGGCAGGAGCTGGGGAAGAAGTGAGCCTGGGTCCTACAAGTTGAGGGTCAAATATCAGACTCTGCCCTGGACATCTGGTGGGCCTCAGGGGAGACAAGGACTGTGGAGGAGTCCAAAGGAGGATAAAATACATGTTCTCTCCACCACACATCAGCTGGCTGGCTGAGGGTGCAGCCACCCTGTCTCCACAACACCTCTGGTACCCAGAGGCTTGTCTGCCCAGCCTACTCTTAAGGTAAGACTCCAGCTGCCCACAACACTGTGTGTGACAAGCCTGTAGAACCCAGGGGCCCACGAGCTCTCCAGCCCCCTCCCCCAGCTA